CAACACCACTGACTGTCAGAACAGAGTGGACAGAAACACCGCTGACTGACTATCAGGAGAGTGGACAGCAACAGATACCACACCATCCAATAGGTCAGGCACATATTTATGAGCAAAAGGAATCTACAAATCCTCTTGACAAAGTATGTGTTAAGAAGCATGAGAATTACTGCACAAGGACTACTCTTGTCAGACACCCTCTGGGTGTTTTGCTGTATTTTTCAGACAGCCACCCACCTGCCAGGATCTTGCCTATCACAACTTTTGGAAGAGGTAATGGACTCTGAAGAGGAACTAAATTGGGCAGACGTCCAGCCTGCACGGCCTACACTGCTCCACACTACACTACACAGTGTGTATCTGACAAGCAAGCGTGGAGTTCCACTCACTGAAGAGAATGTGCTCGCCCAGGTTTGCAATCAGCCGTCTTCGGAAGGCCTCATCTGCTGTGTTTCTGGGCTCATTGCTGGACGTGTCTTCACTTTCAGCAGCATCATTAGGCCTAAAAAAATTCGTCAAATCAGCCTTCTATAGCCTCACACTTCAAGTTTATTTTTACTTTATATTTTGAGATAGCATTTCATTCTGTTGCCCAGGCTAGCTAAAATTCACTATAGAGACTAGGTCTGCCTCAAGCTTACAGCACTCCTCCTGCCTTCCAACTGTTGGGGTGACATACACGTACCACACATAGCCCTAGTTCACAATATAGGAGTAATTTCCAAATGTATGGATAGCTCTGATCACCACATACTTTAAATTATAAGCAGATCATTTTTCTGGGTTTTTTTCCTCTACAATGTAGAGCCTAACATATCGTTTTTCAGGCAGAATTCTTTGTCTATTAATGACTAAATAGTCTATCAATACATCACTTCCAAACTAACTGACAGAAAGAATGCAGGAAGCAAGATATCCTGTTTTAGAGTATCCGAAAACTCAACATTTTACCTACTATAAAGGAAGGCTCTAAATGACAATGAATTTTCAGTTCTGGAAAATTTAAGAAACTCACTCACTTACTCACTTACAATATGCATAACCCAAGCGACCCCCAAATAAATTCAGCTCAAATATTCAAAAGCATAAATCAAATAACCCAACAAGATTCACAAAATCAGAAGTGTGACACATAATTAGACAAAGGCTACAGAGAGAGAGAAAAAGTGAAAGAGAGAGCGAGCATTATTTATCAAATCAAGAGGATGCCACTGCACTGAGGAGGGGAACATGTTCCCATACAATGAGGGCATGAGACCTGGAGGGCAGCTGAGTCAGCACTGGGCTGCACACCAACCTTGCAGGAAGAATGGCTGGTAGCAGAGCTTGCTCCAGAGAAAGGGGAGCGGACGTTGGCTTCTGACTTTGGCTTTCTAAGTATTCCTGGTAAAATTAAAAGAAAGGAAAAAATAAAAAACCTTCATGACAACATATACACTATATTTCGATTTTCAACAGTTAAAAGGAACTGTTTATGTTACAAGCTTCAGGCCAGTGCTTTAACGGTCTCTCACCTTCAAGGAAAACGGTTGTGCAAAATCCACTCTGACATAGCCGTAGTTTTTCCGCAGCATTCTGATAACCCCTCTCGCCACACTCCACAAACTCTCATTCTTCTTGGGCTTGCCCTACAACAGCGAAGGGGAGGGTGCTCTGGTGTGCTGGTGTTTGTTCTGAGAGGATCTCACTATGCTATCCAAATCTGCACTCCTGCAGCCCCTCAACTGCTCAGAGACAGCCAGGAGACACTGTGCCTGACTCAGAATAATTTCTCAATAGAAACTTGAGTTCTGTCTTGATAAAAAAAGACAATGATATGTAAAGAAGAAAAATTGAGCGGCTGGGAGCCAGGGTTGTCAGCCTTCTGACTCTAAGGGGTCTGGCCACATTCACAGCTTCCCTGGGATCATGTGACCCACAGGACAGACTGGACAGGCCTGACTGCTTCAACTGAAACCTGCCAGACAATGTCTGGTATGTAAAGATGCACACAAGATACAGCCTTGTCATTCATGGGAAGAAACTGAGCAAAGAGTAACATGTAAGGTTAGTGCATTTAGTATGTATTCCCTCAGTTCACAGAGTAACATGTAAGGCTAGTGCATTTAGTGTGTATTCCCTCAGTTCACAGAGTAACATGTAAGGCTAGTGCATTTAGTGTGTATTCCCTCAGTTCACAGAGTAACATGTAAGGCTAGTGCATTTAGTGTGTATTCCCTCAGTTCACAGAGTAACATGTAAGGCTAGTGCATTTAGTGTGTATTCCCTCAGTTCACAGAGTAACATGTAAGGCTAGTGCATTTAGTATGTATTCTCTCAGTTCTCAAAGAGAAACATGTAAGGCTAGTGAGTGAGGGTTAGTGAAGCCTGACGCCTGGCTGGGTCATGTTGGCAAAGCACCTGCAAACTAGTATGAGAGATGGGAGTAATTTTTTCAGGGCCCCAGGAATCTTCCCCACATCCTTCCTGTTTGCTCCCTCCAGGAGAGCCACTTGTCCTCAGAGAAAGCAAAGCATGAATAACCTCTCCGCCATGGTGGAGATCACACTCACGGACAAGTGACTTTTTTCTATCTCAATCCCATGATCAAGGCCAACACTGATGTGTGAGTTCCGTGCTTCTCCAGGCCCAGGGAAGCACAAGAGAATCACTCCCAAGCTGACAGCCAAGATGAAGGCAGCTCATCACGCCCACCCAGGACAGTTTAAGATAGGAAATAAGAACCGTGTTAGTAAATGTCACTGTGATCCAATGCTAACCACCAGATACAAAGGCGAAGCTTAAAAGGCCAAGTTGGCCTTGTGCTGGCTGGCTGCTTACCAGCTGTTCCCCATTGTAGTGACCTTCAATTATGCGATCGTAGGAGATGCCCACAGGGATGACAAGGATGTCAGGGATGGTGTTGGAGGACAGAGTGTCCACTACCACTGACAACAGCCCTGCCCGAGCACACGAGGTCTTCCCGCTCCGGGAACGGGTGCCTTCCAGGAAGATCTCCAGGAACTGCTGCTGCCGGAGTAGTTCAACTACATGCTGAGATGGGGAAAATTAGACATGGACTAAGACTGTGCGATTCAGAACAGCTTAATTTCAAACAAAACACAGGGGAGAGATCACTTCACCACAGACCAAACACTTCCCACCAAAGCTGTATCTGGGAGATGACCAAAACAGGATCACTCCTAACTATGCAGTCATCTCCCAAATGAAGGAACAAGTTTGTAAAAATCTTAGTTTCAGCACATCTCGGTGGTTCTCCCGTGACAGCTAGCACTGAGTGTCGAGGACAGCTAAAGTTCATGCCTACCCCATGAAGCAGCGCTCTGTAGAGAACGTCTTTTCGTCCATCGGGGGTCTCGTCGAGCCGCCTTCGGATGAAGAAGCCCCCAAGCTTGTGAATCAGCGTACTGCAAATGAGAGAACATGTGAATTATTTATAGGGAAAATGGAAAAAGAAGACTCAAACATCAAGTACTCCAAAGCATTTTCCATTCAGACAGAAAGCCCGTGTCACCCTAGTGTTGACAGCGGAGACACGGATGCTCATTTCCGTGTCACTGACATGCTTCACCCATCCCTCTGCCTTCGCAGAAGCGCTGCATAACTTCTACGCCAAAAGGGAGTTCCAATGTGATGTCATCCGCAAAGGCTGTGACACAGCTTTGAAGATTTTGGAATGCTTCTCAATTTACAAGTAGAGAGTCACTGCCTTAGGTTCCGTATCCACTGGTGAGTCCTCCAAGCTCTACGGACAGCTCCGTCCACTGGTCACGCAGATGGGTGGCCCTGGCTAAACTAAATGGCTCACAGCCTGACCAGATGGTACAGAAGTTAAGAGTACTGGCTGCTCAATGAGGATGCTGGTTCAATTCCCACCACCAACCATCTATAACTCCAGTTCCAAGAGATATGGCATGCTCTTCTAAACTCCTTGGGCACCAGGCACACAAGTGATGCTTATACATACATGCGGGCAAAACATTCATACACAAAAAGAAATACTTTTTAAAAATTAAGCATAAATGGGTCACACATACAAAACAAAGTCATGAGTTTGAGAAGGGATGGGACAGGGTTAACAGAGATGGGAGGGAAGTAGAAGTATGAGGAAGAGAATAATTAGACTACAGAAAACATCAAAAACAAAACCAATGGCTGAGCATGGCAGCACATGCCTTTACTCTCAGCAGTCAGGACGCAGAGACCATAGAATTTTCATGTTCAGCCTGGTTTACATTGCTGGCCAGCCAGAACTACAGAGTAAAACTCTGTCTCTCAGAAATGGGAAAAAAAATATTAAACAATAAAAAATAAAAAAATTTAGCATAAAATCCTGTCCATGCTCTCCAGACAATGAGTCTCAGACAAATAGACACTGGCCCTTGGCTAATTTGTAAAGTGAATAAATATTCTTTGGGGAAAATACTCTCGAATAACTAATGCTTAAAAGAGGGTCCCTATGATGAGGACAATATTATCTAACTGAAATCAAATCTAAGCATCCTTACAAAACAGAAAACAGGTGCTGGAGAGATGGCTCAGCAGTTAAGAGCACTGACTGCTCTCCCAGAGGACCCTGGTTCAATGCCCAGCACCCATGTGGAAGCTCAGAACCCTCTGTAACTCTAATTCCATGGGGTCAGATCTCCTCCTTTGGACTGTGTGTTTAGCAAAACAAAAGTTAGGTTCATTTGCATACACAGGAACAAAACAATTCTGCTTCCAATCCCAAGTCACTTGGATATGAAGTTAAAAGTTTCTGAGTCAGATTTCCTGAATTACAGCCCCTTCCTGGGCTTTTCAAATGGAATAACTGTTTTCAAATAGACATTAGCATTGCACTGTGGTAAGTACCAATACTCTATTATATTAAAATGTTAACATAAGAAGCCAGGTTAAGTGTAGAGTCACTCTGAAATTCTTCAGAATAAATTCATTGAATGAACAATGTCCCCTGAGATATGTTTTTGTCACTGTGGAGACTTAAATGTGATAAAAGGAAACTCTAAACAGACAAATTTGTCTACGGTCGGCTACATCTGAAGCAAAGGCAAGCTAAACAATGGCTGGCGTGAGTTCGGGAAAAGCAACACTCAATTATGAGAAACTATAAACATTTGGCACTTTACAAAAAGCCTCTCTGAAAACTACATCAGAAGGGAATGAATATATGAGCTATCTGAGCACCAGTGAACAGCCACCTTAGTTCTGAGACCAGGCATCTCTGTGTGTCTGTGTCTGTCTGCCTGCCTCTCTGTCTCTCCCCACAACCCCCCCCAGCCCCCCCAGTGCCTAGTATATGTGTGAGTGTGTGTGCGCGCGCGCGCGCGCGCGCGCGCGCGCGCATGCACGCACATTCGAAGTCAGAGCACAACCACAAGTGTCTTCAATCAAGACCTACCTACATTTTGAGACTGGGTCTCTAACTGGCCTGGAACTTGACAAACAGGATAGGTTGGCTGGCCAGAGAGGCCCGAGGTTCCACCTGTCTCTGCCTTCCCAACACCAGGATTACAAGCAGACACCACACAAGAGAGCTGAGGGTCCACCTGTCTCTGCCTTCCCAACACCAGGATTACAAGCAGACACCACACACCCAGACTCTTTCGAAGGAACCTCGGGCCCTCAAGCCTGGCAAGCAGTTTACCAACTGCACCATCTCCCCTGCCAACCTGTCTGATGATTTTCTAATTTAGCTTCTCTGTTCCTTGGCAATGAGAAAAGATGTCCTGGAGTGTGGCATGCATGTTCTAGTCCCTGGGAAAGCATGGCTGTCCTGTAGGCTCCCACCACCATGTCACTATGCCAGCTGTTTGTCTGTGCTCCTGTTACATGACAATCTATGTGTCTTGTCCATATTTGCTTGAAGCTCATCAGAATAAACCCCACTGACTTCTGCTGACACCAGTCTGACTAGCTACAGCACTCTGGGGACCAGGACAGAGAGCCCTGCACCATGAGGCTGAGGCCAGGACTTTGAATGCCACTGTGGGAGGCCCCACCTGCCTGGCCACCAGCTTTTCATGCAGTTTCTCTGTGTGCACCTAACTCATGTCGGGTCACAGAGCTGACCTCAGTGCTCCGTGCTGCCTGGAGCTGAGAGTTGCGTTTCTCAGCTCCACCCAGTCCTCACTGGCTCTTCAGTGACCAGGCTTAGCTAGCTGACAGTAGATCCAGTCGCCTACACCCCTGCTGAGCTCACACCTGGACAAGCTCTGACACCTAGGAACTTAGTTCACTAATTTCTATTCAGTCTGCCTCTGCCCTCCTCCCCAGCAGCACAGCTATATCCTGATATAGTCACTTGCCTAAACGTTCAACAGAGTCAGGATTTTAATTTCTTCAAGGTCAGAAGGTCTGAACCCATCAGAGCCAAAGTCAGGACAAACACCAGCCCTCAGCTTAGAGTTGCTTTTGATCTGGCCCTTACTGTCTATGTGGCCGCCACCTCCAGCCTCTGGTCTTTCCTGACCCTCCTGGTGCACACTCCAACTTACCTACCGGTCCATCGTTTTCCTACCACCACGCTCTGCAGTCTCTGCCTCTGAATACCCTGTTCCCTTTGAGCAGAGTACACAGCAGCCTCTGCAAATGCGCAAACCTTTGGGTTGATTGGATTCTCCCCGTCAGCAGGACAAGGTAATAGCAGTTACTCTTACCAACCTTTATCTGCCAGCACCTCACCTTCCTTTGACAAGTCTGGTACCTCATCCTACTTCATTGAGTTTTAATAGCTTTTCATTCCCATGATAAACGCTGTCCCTCGAGTTTACCTAACCACAGTCCAGCACTTATCAAATCAGAAATAATGATGCTATCAGAAATACGGTGATGAATAATGCCATGTTTTGTGTACTAGCCAAAGGTTACACAATGAAGCATTACCTTTTTTGGTTGTGAGCCTAGCCTTTAACGGCTGAGCCACCTCCAGCCCAGTGAGCTGACTTTTTTAATAAAAATAAAACTAGGCATTTTCATAACAACTATCAAAATGGAGCAAAAACAAACCCCAAATTTAAAACAATTTTTTTTTCTTTTCTTGAAACAAAGACTCACTATACAGCCCTGACAGGCCAGGAACTTGAAGTGTGGACAGAGACAGCCTAGAATTCAGAGATCCTCCTGCCTCAGCCTCTCCAATACTGTGATTACAGGTGTGTCCTGCGTGCTGACCTGGAATGCAGACGCAGCTGACCTCACCTGAAGATGGGGATGTTGAGGTTATTGCCCGACGCGATGTACGGAGCCTTGATGTTGTGGCAGAAGAGGATGAAGGTGAGCAGCAGGTAGTCGATGTGGGATCTGTGCACCGGCAGAAACAGGAGCGGCAGGTTCGTCTAGGGCAGACGGAGGGAGGGAGGGAGGAGGGAGGAGTCCACTTTAACTTTCTGCCCCACTTTGCTACTGCATTCTAGTTACAGTCACTCATCCCTGGCTCATCAGTGACTCCCTCTCTATAAGGGAGGGCAGGAGGGGAGGGGAGGGGAAGGGAGGGGAGGAGGAGAACAGGAGGGAGCAGGATGGTCGAGACGGGAGGATGGAAAGGGAGAGCAAGGGAAGAGATACCTTGATAGTGCAGAGGGTGCCGTTATGGGGCTACTGAGAAACCCGGACTAGGGAATTCCTAGGAATTCACAAGGATGACCCCAGCTAAGACACTAAGCGTTAGTGCAGAGGGTGCCTGAACTGGCTTCCCCTGTAAGCTGATTAACGACTATCTTAATTATCATCATTGACGACTATCTTAGTTATCATCATAGAATCTTTGTCCGGCAACTGATGGAAGTAGATGCAGAGCTCCACAGCTAAGCACTGGGCCAAGCTCCCAGAGTCCAGTCGAAGAGAGGGAGGAGTGATAATATGAGCAAAGGGGTCAAGACCATTTTGGGACTACCCACAAAGACAGCTGACCTGAGCAAGTAGGAGCTCACTGACTCCGGACTGACAACAAAGGAACCTGCAAAGGACTAAACTAGGCCTTCTGAATGTGGGTGACAGTTATATGGCTTGGGCCACTGGCAATGGGACCAGGATTTATTCCTGGTGCTTGAACTGGCTTTTAGGAGCCCATTCTCTTTGGAGGGATACCATGGCTCAGCCTAGATGGGGGGGGGGGGGTTTGCCTTAGTCCTGCCTTAAAGTGAGGTGCTAGACTCCCCATGAGAATCCTTGATTCCCCAGGGGAAGCCTTACCCTCTCTGAGGAGTGGATAGAGGTGGGGAGAGCAGGAGGAGGGGAGGGAGTAGGAACTGGGATTGGTATGTAAAATGAGAAAAGATTCCTTTAAAATAAAAAATGATAAAAAAAAAAATGCTCCAATAAATCTTCAGTGCCTACGTATCTAGCTATGAGAGCTGCTATTTCATAGCGACTATTGGGGGAAGAACAACTTGAGCTCAGGTTGATCACACCTCTTCTAGAGGAAGTCTTCATTATGGAAAATGAGCAGAGGTTTGGGAGCCAGGCTGGTTTAGAACATGGAGACCTGAGCCAATGGTGCCCCTCTACCTACTCCTCTATTTGCTATGTATAAAACATAGCATGACTTGGTGTTCAGGGTTGTTGCGAGATAACTTATGAAAAGAATTCTATACACTTTTGATAGACCCTGCTTCTCTCCTGAAATAGTACTGCAGTTGTCACAAAATGGGAGACGCTTCAAATCCCTAACAGCAAAGAAGAGACTCTGAAAGAGCTCTAATGGCATACCACACACCCAGGGGAAACAGAGTGATAGGGCACAGAAATCAACCCTCACCTCTGTTGCAGCTTTGACCATCTCGAGCTGACCCTTGTGAATCTGAATGTTCCAGAAGAAGCTGTTGAAGAGCTTTAGCAGCACCCAGCCAGTCAGCCTGAAGAAATAAAAACACTTGAATCTATACAAACATAGACAAACATGTATATATTATAAATCTGCACACAGTTCACTTTTGTCTCCCACAGCTTCTGAGCCTACAACCTAAAAGCACTTGTAAATGACTTCACATGTGTGCACTTAGGCGTCTGGACTGACGAATGTGTGTTCCAATATAAACAGACACTGCTCACAGACACTCCTTGCTGTGGACAACAAACACATTTTTCTCTGCTAGCACTTAATCCTTCGAAGGCCATGCTAAATTGGAGAGCAAAAGGATGGTTCTAACACACACAACCACTCCCTGTAAGACACTAGACTCAGCCGTTTGAGGAGAACAGACAACACCCATAATAGAGCGACTGCTACCAATCAATGGGGACAAAGGCAGATGGAAGCCTCCGCTGTGCAGGTCGCATTTGAGTGGGTAGATTTAACACTGAAATACACCAGTGTCTTTTGTTCACATCTTTTCCTTGAGCTGGGAAAGGAAGACTCAATAGTTTAACCCACTGGATGGAAACACGCTGGCTTTGGCCTCAGGCCACCCACTGCCTTCACTACCTGATCATGCCTGGGGAGACAGTAGCAACCATTTCCTGCAGGATCTTCCGGGCTTTCTTTTTCACTTTCTGGATGGCTTTAGACTGTTGCTGGGCAGATCCATCCGGGTTCATCTCAGCAGCCACTTCAGCAATGGCCTCCTGGACTCTGATTTGAAAGTAAAAGTCAGACAATAAAACGGATTCTATGTTGCTGGATGTGTTCAGTATTTTCTAGACTATGCTAATGAATAGGATGGGAAAACAGAATAAAATGCCCATTGTCTTTAATATGCAGAAAATGCATGTTCTCTTTAAGAAGTAGTACAGCAGCAAGAGAAAGCTCAAGACCATTAGCCCTTGTTCACTATCAAAACTGAGGGCCTGGAGAGATGTCTCGGTGGCTAAGCGTCTGTACTGTTCTTGCAGAGGACCTGAATTTGATTCCCAGAACCCACATCAGGCAGCTCACAACTGCCTGTAATTCCAGCTCCAGTGGATTGACCAGCCCTCTGGCCTCTTCCTACACACACACACACACACACACACACACACACACACACACAAATAATAATAATACTAAAAATGGGCAATGCATTCCTAAGCCACAGAATCCCTTACAAATCTCAGATTCACTGAGTGACTGCTACGGAACTTGAATGCCCCAGTCATGTTACACTTTAGCAAAGTAAAAAAAGATGAAGAGAGTTACTCCTGTGCACATAACCCATGATGGAGAATGTACTCAACAAGATGCAAACTTTGTGGAAATGGCTTTATGCAACCTGGTATAGTAATCAAATTAAAACGAACTGCCACAAAAAGGTCAAAGTAGTGTATGATTTCCCTTAGAAATCATAAGTTGTCATTTGTTTGTATTACCACAGCACTAGAATTGTATGTAAAACTCTGTGAGAAGCGCTAAAGTGGAAATAACTATTTACTTTTTCTTTTGTCCAATTGATCCAGTCATTTTACCAAGGCAGAGTTCAGGATCAAAATCAGCACAGCCATAAGAAATGTGCTGAAGAAGAAGCTCACCCCAGTCAGACAGATCTTCTCTTGACTAAGAGCAACCCCACCACCCTAGTGACCTGAAGGTTTTCCCTAGACAGCGTTTACTGCACGGGCCTAGCATGTTTCCCTAGACAGCATTTACTGCACGGGCCTAGCATGTTTCCCTAGACAGCGTTTACTGCACGGCCCTAGCATGTTTCCCTAGACAGCATTTACTGCACGGGCCTAGCATGTTTCCCTAGACAGCATTTACTGCACGGGCCTAGCATGTTTCCCTAGACAGCATTTACTGCACGGGCCTAGCATGTTTCCCTAGACAGCATTTACTGCACGGGCCTAGCATGTTCCTCTGGGTATCTAATATGACACCTCCACTCTCACCTAGTCGGCAATTCATTTAACATGTTTTCCTAAGTACTTACTATGAACCAGCACTATTGGGGATGAAGCCACAACCCCTGACAGGGCTATAAACAAACTTCATGAATTTCAAGTTTTCAGTCTCCCCATCTCCAGTCTCCAGTTCCAGTCACACCCAAGAGGTGAAGCAGAGAAACTCCCACCCAAGTCCCTACACTTAGTGGATCAGAAAACCACCCCAAAAGCTATGGAGCAAACTGACTTTAAATTAAAGGTAAATGAAACTACCTCACACTTCCTAGCTCTCCGTGGTCTCCCCTGATCTAAGAGATAAGATTCTCTGTAACTTCTGGAATTCTTTTCGGTGGGTAGTGAAGGCTGCTGGGCAGGGTTAGGGTGAAGTCACTAGACCTCTGAAGAAGGCTTCCAGCTACCTGGGCAATCTAATCATTCTGTCCCCGGTGAAGCTCAGTGGCTCACCTATCTCCCTCAGAGAGAACTCTGTCCCTACTATTGTTTTCCTTAGCTCACCCATAATACCCTGCAGTTATTTACACTGCAAAACTACCTAAACACCCTTGTTTCCCTTTCCCCTGCAACTACTCCAGTTTCTCGCTGCATCAGGCAATGGCTTTGCTGGAGGCTGGTACATATTAGTGAAGGTGTGCAGTTCTTTTTCCTGGTAGTCTGCTGAGGTCAGCCTCCCTGGCAGGCAAACACTTTCTCAGAGAGCAAAGAATCTTATCCCCAAGACTATAGCTGTGGCTTCCTACTACAAGGGCTTGGACTTAGGTTCTCAGTAACCATTAGACAACATACCAAGCACCTCTCTTTGGACTGTCAAAACAGAAAATGGGTTGTCCCCAATATTCATGTTACAGAAGGCTGATGGGGAACCCTAGGCACATGTGCACGTCTCTAACAGTAGCTAGCTAGGTCTTGCCTTTCACACTCTAGAAGACTATTCAGTAACTGTCCAATCCACCTTCACCACACCTTCCACCCCCCTGACTTTCCTCCATGTCTTTTGTGGCTTAACACTCACTGTTCGGAAATGTCAGCATTTCCCTAGAGAAAAGCAGAGAAATCAACAGAAGAGGCTTCACTCCCTCTGCCCTCCCACTGCCACACATCTGGCCTGTCCCCACCTTATCAACAGTGTCCCCCACTCACCTGCTGCTGTTCAGAACGTTTTCAGTGACACTGGTGGCAAACATGCCCTTATGGACATCCCGCTCTTGAACAAAAAGGATGTAAGAAAGTCGTCTTGCCAGCCATCCTCGGTGCCTGCAACACACACACACACACACAACACATGCCTTCTCAGTAAGTCCTCCAGCACACCTCCACCACACAGTGATTTCCCACCCACAGAGAGAGCTTCGGCCACTTATTCCAGACTATGGTCCTCGAGGTCGGGGTGCTATACAAACATTTTGACTCATAATTGCTTTTGTATACTCTCATGTAAAACTGAAACTTGGAAATTGTATATCAATGCTCAAATTGTCCTATTTTTCTGAATAGTAACCCAAATCTAAAAACAAAAGAAAAATGTGACTTTCTCAATAGCATTACAGAGACAGCAAGTAGGATGTTACCCATTAGCTACATATGAGCAGGGGTAGACAGAGATGTGTACAGCTTAGAGCCACAACATTAGGCTACAAACAGGAAACTTGGAGGTCTCTTCCAACACAAAGGGCTATTTTTTGTATTAACACGTTCTTCCGAGATAAGCACTGAGTCTCAAATTGGATTAAAAGGTAATGAAATGAGACATTCAACTTTTGAATGTTTCAAATTTTCACTGTAAGCACACATCAGGTCTATCTAAGGGGAAGGACATGCTCTTATAGGTAATACAACTATGTGGTGATTAGCAGGAGGTATAGGGATACATTTCACAGTAAGAAGCTATGAATCTCACGCTAATGATTTGAAAGCACGTCTGATAATGGCATAAGGCAACATTATTATTTTCTCCACGGTGATACTGACGGCAGATTCAAACATGAGGTCAATAGCCCTGAAAAGACGCAAAGAGTGGAACCGTCTGTGAGTAACTTCTCATGTCTCCTGACTTCTTCCCTGTTTCCAGCTTCAGAAAGCTTAGCTCTCTGTGTTGCATTCTCCCTAAACCCTTTCCAGTGAATATTTTCAGATGATCACTACAAAAAACCTAAGCGCTCTCTGAAATGCCTTTTCGACCTATGAAGCATGGCGTTTGTGTGGTGTGGAGGTGTGGGTGAGTGAACACCTGAGAATACAAGAGAGAAGTAGTACACACGGATGTGAGGGGATGGACCTGGGCATCGCAGCAGGACAGTGCACACCCTGTGCTTATAACAGCTTTAAAAGCGTTTAGCCGTTGTCATTTAACACACAAGCAGCTTGAGGGGACCTGGGCATCGCAGCAGGACAGTGCACACCCTGTGCTCATAACAGCTTTAAAAGCGTTTAGCCGTTGTCATTTAACACACAAGCAGCTCACAGGCAACTTGTTTCAGGTAATAGTTTGAGCTACCATCAAGTCAATACAGCCTATGCCATTTAAAATGTCTTTAACATTACTCCAAACAGGGATAACAGACAAAAAATTGACTTCGTATGTAAAATGTCCTTTACACGAAGAAGAAACTGCTTCTTTACTGAGGGTCACAGTCATATCAACTAAGAAACAGGAAATAAAAACAAATTTTGTGGACCACTCTCTCCTCTCTGCTTTAAATTTAAACAAAGAAGACAGAGGGAAACCTGAGAAATGAAAAGAAAAAAAAGTTGGGTTTGGACTCTGGTTCTATTACAAAGGCAAATTTAACACACAAGCAGATCTCGACACTCACACAAGACCCTCTTCACCTGGTAAGAGCAGTGCCATCGAGGACCAAATCCGTGTACTACATTCTTGGATCACCTTTCATAGAATTTCAGCATTTCCCATAACCAAGAACACCTCTTAGCACCTTTAGGCATCTGTTCTTGGGACCGTAAGGACCAGGGGCATTTTGACTGCTGTTTCTCTTGCTTCGCAGACACACAGTCTACCTTTCCCTTATCCTCTTGAATTATGAAGCAAAGGCTCCTTTCTCCCTGGCACCTACCAAGTCCCATGTACTGGAATTTGGAAGTCAAAATTATCTTTGGTAAATAAATCAAAGAACATTTACTGCAGGGAGGGGACCAACAGGACCAAAGGGAAAGAGGGAGTTGAATCTGAGCAAAGTACTGTGATGTACATCATGAAAATATAATGAAACTCAACATTCTGTACAACAGATGCTATTAAAAGGGGGCATTTACTCGGGAAAGAATATGTTCCAGGACTCTACAGAGTGGGGAGGTTTTTTAAGCATTTGTTCTATTTTTTTAATTATTGTGTTGGTCTGCAACTGTACACGTGTTGGTGTGTGACTGCACACATGTGCTGGTATATGACTACACACGTGAACATATATGGCCATCAGAGATGTGTCAGGAGTTGACGCTCTCCTTCCATAGTGGGTTACAGTAATCCAACTTAGGAGGTCATCAGCTAGGACATCTCATTGGCCACATTTATATGTTTTGAAGTATGAAACAGTTACAAAGTATCATAAGACATTCAAACCTACATCTCTTTTGTCAAAGAAATACTTCCCACTGCATAACAAAAGCCAGTACCTACATGTGTTAAAGAATACCACAGGTGACAGCTACACCACATGGGCATGCCTGACAGTAGGGCAGCAGTAACCATGGCGGGCCTCGGAGGCTGTCTGTCCTGCGTCTACTCTTTAGATGAACTTACTGCTTCAAAGGCTCACACTCTATCCACTCTAGAAACCACGAGTTTACCTTAAAGTAGCTAATTAGCGTTACGGACTTTTACTTCTAAGACTTATTACAAGTATAGAAAATGTCTTTTTACCTTGTGTGAGTTTCATTGATATAAATAACATTCCGCAAACCCAGAGATGGGATACTGGGGTTGAAAAATCTTTCCTAAAAGAACAAAATGAATGCAGACATGAATTCACAGCTGGATTGGAGGTCACGAATCCCAGTGATGTCTCTAGAAGACACTTAAATTCAAGCTGCTTCAAAACTTACAGAATGAAGGCGGGCACCTTTAATCCCAGCACTCGGGAGGCAGAGGCAGGCGGATCTCTGTGAGTTTGAGGCCAGCCTGGTCTCCAGAGCGAGTGCCAGGATAGGCTCCAAAGCTACACAGAGAAACCGTGTCTCGAAAACCCAAAAAATTTACAGAATGAAGAAAACACATGTTTTAGTAAATAGTACTTTTTGTACTTTAAAGATAGTCACAAACTCAAGTTTAACTTTGAAACGCTGAAACCAAAGGTCAGGAATCCCTCCCCTTTCCCACCCCTGCTCCCTCCTCTACTAAGCAGGACCCACAATCGGTCACAGATTTCAGTGTCCCCAAATGCAAACTATTATCCTAAACACCAGTTACTATTGTGGTAAACCCCTAGGCCCATAAGACACATGAAAATTACTCATTATATGAGTAAGAAAATTGAAGCTGTCAAAACTTGAGCATTCAGACATTTCCCTTCCCTAAAACAACCGACCACCTAATGGTCACCTAAAAGTACATCCATCTACCAGCCACTCTCTTTACAGGAGATCTTGAAAAGACAGTCTACCCTTTTAACAATGTGAGCAAGACAGTAAAAGTCCAAGAAATAAATACAAAAACATGTGTCAATAAGATGTAAAAAATTACTTCAATGAAATTCTTTACCAAAAAAAAAAAAAAAAAAAAAAAAAAAAGGGTTTAAAAAAAAGGCCCTCAAAAATAAAAAACATTAAAAAATTTTTAAAAAAATTTTTTTCCAAAAAAAAAAAAAAAAAAAAAAAAAACAGGGTTTCAAAAAATGGCTCTCAAATATCAAGAACGTTAAAAAATTTACTAACAAATTTTTTTGAATGAGCATGGAAAAAATCCAAGAAGAATGTAGTTCCATCCATAACTATCTCTACACAAAAAACAGCCTGTTACAATATATCTACCCAACCCCAGTAACTGGTGCAAAGCTCTGGCTGACAATACACTGTAACACTGAGGTTGCAATATTGTTTGGTGTAAAACTGTCCTTAAGGCATCATCTTGCATTCAAAATTAGAGTTAAGGTATTATCTTGTGTTCAAAATTAGAATTAGGTGAGAGGCCAGTCTAAAAACAAAAGCCACATGACCTACTTAAATTTTTGTTCCCACTGACCTCTAAATCCCAAGTGGTCTCACTCTTGGATGGGCAATTTTCATACTTCCTCAGTTGTAACAAATTCCTGCATTAAGGCACTTACTGTTTAAAAGGGGCATCTCTAACAAGCCATTCTTGAGCAGACCTGAACACGGACTAAGAACTGCTCAGGCTCTGCCTAAATCTCACCAATATTAATAAAGTCCTGTATGCCAGACTCAGAACTACACCTCCTGCCAAGCCAGCCACCAGTGGAAAATTCACACAAATTATAAGCAACCTCTCTGTAAACAACAGTTTCTGATTCCTAAATATTTGGTCCATCCCAACAACAGCTTAACAACTTAAACAACCTTTCAAAATGTAACTCTAGCCTTGGAACAGTAGGGAAGGAAATTCTAGGGTTGCCAACTCATCCCTCTACCAAAGGCCATTAGCAGCTCACCTTTCACCCAGTCGGCTCTTCTCAGGGAATGAGGAAGATGTGGGCATGCTTATTTCTCAACAAAATAACAAAAACCAAGGGCATTCTTGCAGGCTAAAAGTCAGCACCCAGCAGGTATTGAGCACCCCACCAACTCAACGGATATTAACTCAAAGTAAAATCTACTCTTCCCCCTAACTGTAAACCAATTACTACTGAGTAGATTAATAAGTCCATTTCTTTACCAGAAACTTTTAACTTATAAGCAGGGGTCTTGGTTCTGAAGGAATCAAATTCACTAAGACCCAACAACAAAATCCACATAAGTGAAGCCCTCTGTGGTGAGTAGGAGAGATCTTACCCAGCTCTGTGGTGTGCAGGAATAACAGCACCTTCCCACGAAGGGCCTCTTCCGGCTCATGAGGCTCTCCTTCCATTTTAACGTTGCAGATCTGAAGAAGGTAGTTTTGAATCCACAGTCACCCTGGTAGATATAAGGCAGAAATTGTGTCTCAATGGCAGAGAACTGTTCTCATCCCCTTGGGTCTCTAAAAACTAGGATATTTCAAATAAAACAGAAAGTTATGCTGTTTCTTTCTTTGGGCAGTATAATTACATGTGCCGTGAGTGTTCCCATGTAAAGCCATCTTGTTCCCCAATTACCACCTGGGAAAAAAGGTTGTTACAGAAGGGAAAGTTGGTTTCCTAAAAACATAGTTTGTAACAGTTGCTACATGCTTGACACAGCATTCACAGGTTTTATCAGTTTTGATGTTCACCAGAGGGCAAACAGTAAAAACATGGCATACATATTACCCAGTGGAATATGATTCAGCCACAAAAAGGGATGAAACCCAAAAAAGCCTGGGGTTCATTATGTTAACAATAACCAGGCACACAAAAGCTTACACCTGCAAGTTGAAAATGTTGACCTCACAGAAGCAGAGAATAGAAGAGTAACCGAAGTTCAAAGGTCAAAGGGACTTCTGACAGTGGGATCAGGAAATCAGACTCCTGAATCCCCATGCTCAGTCAGCCTCACGCCCTTCCAGTCATTCCTGCAGGAAAGCTACGAAGGCCTAATGCAGCAAGCAGGCATTCTTACAGTATTTTAGAGCAAAAATGAAGTATGCTTCATGGTGTTCTCTTAGCAAGAGCACTGAAAGGCAAGGATTTAAAGCTGAGACAGTTTGACTGGAGTCAAACTCTGCCCAACTGTGTTGAGATTTCTCTTTAACTTCGGGTTTGTTTATTGTTCAGATCTCACTGATACGACAGTCTTAAAATTAACCAAATACTGTTATAAACTTGTATTGAGGTATTTGAAATACTCTGTAATTTGAAATGCCTGTTTTTTTCAATTAGTTTAATAAGCAAGTTTCCCATTTTTAATGTTTTTAGAGCTCATTTCCATTATAAAATTCATGCTTACTAAATATAAGTTGTGTAGTAGATACCGAAACAAAAAGAGTTTATGAGCATACTACCCAAAACAATGGCTACTATTTATGTGTTTATGCCTCCAGACAAGTAATTTGCTTCTTAATATAATCACTATTTCGAAATTTTCCATCCAATTTTTCTTGCTAATTAATACTACTAAAAACTTTAAATTATTCTTAGACTGCAAAACCACTTCTAACAGCTGGAAGCAGTTTCTGCAGTGATTAGTCTACTTGGTACGAGGCAAACAGTTCTACCATTCTGAAGATTTAAGCTTACCCAATCCTCAGTTGCGTGTTTACATCGGCCGAGGCTGTACTCTGATGAATTGGGCAGATAAGAAACGTCTATCGTGCCAAGTGTCACTGAAGACTCATCCATGTCACAACGTTGGAGTCCCGAATCATGTGCTGTAAGAAAAAATTAACACTCAAGGAAGCATCCAGAGACAGTGCCAGGTCTGCAGGGTCCCGGTCAGAAACAGGATAGCAAATGAACTGACAGATTTCTGGTTCAGTTAGTAGCTGCATAAAAACTCCAGATTGGTAGAAGAGTGCTTTTCTGGCTTGACGTATTGATGTTTCTGCTGAGCTGCCCTGACCACAGAGGAAAAAGTCAACATTTGTATACCAGTATTTCCTAAGCATACAAGAATACAACATGTGTACCTTTTGGATTCCTGAGCAAAACTGACATAGAGTCACCTGTAAGAACCAAGGGCTTAATGCTGGCGTGCAACGAACTACTGCACTTTGTTAATAACCGAGTAATTCCTGAGAGGATGACAGCAAACGTTTTTACTATTTATTTATGAGTAGGTGTGCATGTGTGCATATGAGTACCTGAGGGAGCCATGACAGGGCATCAGACCCCCTGGAGCTAGAGTTACAGGTGGTTGTGGGGCACCTGATGCAAGTGCTGGGAACCACACTCTGGTCCTCTGAGAGATCAGCAAACACACTTAACCACTGACCCACCTCTCCAGCTGCAGCATAAGCTTACTTAGTGCAACACACGTTATATGTATGAGTACAGGGGTTTCCTTTTAATTTTGAAAAACTTTCTTGTACAATCTTTAATTATTTTAGCTATAGGCTATTTCTCACCTAGCATAAGAGTCTTCTCTTAAAACCCAAAGACCACCTCAGAAACAGTGTTCTCTAAAGGGAACACGTGGACTCTCGACACCCCCACGTGGATTTGTTCCAGTAACTGTTCAGCCTCAAAACACCTGCATCTGCCTAAGCAGTCAGCTGACAGCTGAGACCCCTAAAGCATCTCACCTGGGGGGAACGGCCCTCAGCTACCAACTTCCTGTCCAGAATGGCCACACAACGGGGGGAGCACGCTGCCGCCTGGGGAAAGAAAGGAGGAGATCAGAGGAGGAGGAGGAGGAGGAGGAGGAGGCCAGTGCCAAGAGGAGTCCACGCCTTGCTCCTCCCTCCCGCCCCATAGGGTTTACCCGAGGTCAAGGCAGATTTTTTTTTCTGGAGAGGCGAGGAGGAATTTTAAAAAAGGAGAAGAAAGAAAGAAAACCTAAAACCTGAAAGCGTCCAGACAGCTGTGCCGAGCAGGGCACAGAACCCAGTCTGACGGTGGGACAGAGGCAGAGGCAAGCAGGCCCCTCTGGAGTTCAAGCCCCGGCCGGCTGCACGCGCCGCGCCTGGGTCCGGACGA